AGGTTATTTCAATTCCGGCGACAAATTCCGGCCGTCCGGTCGTCTTCTCAGACGCCCAAGTGGCCGGAATTTGTCACCGGTGGCCGAAATTTATCGTCGATGGCCGGAATTTGTCGCCGGAATTGAAATGACCTATAATAACAGGTCATTTACCGATTTGTGGGTTTAATTGACTCAATTTGACATGTTTGAGGGTTTAATTAACAATTTTTAAAGTTTATGGGCCTAGTTGACCTTTGAGGTAAAGTTTAAGGGTCTATTTGACCCTTTTCTCTTAGAATAATAATATTACTTATTCTCGCACGAGCTTAGCTCAATGATTCAGTGAATAGTATTTGAAAGAAGATATCAAGGTTCGAACTTCGATGACGGTAATATGAAGATTATGTAATTATGTTTAAAGTTGGCAGATTCCTTGTGTACAGTAGTATTTGACTCTGTCTACTGAACCATTGAATCACCATGATTTACATCCTCCAAAATATTCTGTGTGGTGTGGAGGACCCTTGGGATTAAGGATTCAACCTTTTGCGAGAAGAATAATACTACTTATCCCATTATAATTCTATTGAAATCTAAACTCCAATACTATAATTATAGTTGTATACTTTTATTTTTATGAAATTTGTTGGATGTGAGGTTATGAAGGTTAACATTACATGGTTAAATAAATTGAGAGTTATTCAATATGTTATAGTGTGTCTATTCAAAATAACCAAATAACAACTGCATTGCATTATAATTTTAACATAAATTTATTTATTATTTAATAATAATAATACTTATTATTCCCTTCCAATTTCACTGAAATCCAAACTCGTATAATTATACTCTTGCAAAATAGGAATTAAATCCCACTATTCCTCTTCCATAAAATTACAAAATTTTCACTAAATTCGCTCTCTGTAACCAACCCAGTATTTGTATTAAAAATTAAGTTATGAGTTCTACTATATGTACTTTTAAATTTGATAATTTTATTATGTGAGTCTTATAAAAAGTGTGCACATCAAGAATTCAATAATTTATAAGATGGAATAGAAGTTGTGAGTAAAAAGTGAAAGTACCGGTAGGATTTTCCTTTTTAAGTTATCGCCGTACGATCAAAAGGTCTGCCAGAAGGCTGGAATCCACATCAGTGGATATTATGAAGTTATTGTCAGATAAATTATCTTGGGTGGGGTTAATAACAAATGTGGGATGGGGTTATTTGTGAAAATATTTATTCTGCAAATACAAAGATAATGTCAAGAAAAAAAAAAAAAAAAAAAAAAAAACAACACTAGCTGTGCGCAAAAACAACACTGGCTGTGCACGTTTGTGCACAACTAATAGCTACACGGGCGCGTGCAGCGTCACTGACGCGTCAGAATTTTATTAATTTTTGTTTTGTTATTTTTTTTTCTCTCACCACCCACCCACGTTCTTTTTCCTAATTACTTTTACATTATCTTCCAAATCTCCCCAACTAACATGGATGCTCTGACATCATATGCGATGTCCGATTCGGTACATTTGTTCTATACTACTCTCTTGAATCTCTTCCATTAAAAAGTCTGCTGGAATTGCTTTTTATTTTCCATTTCTAGCTCTTCGGTTCCTCGCTCTCTTATATTCTTGGACTTATGAATGAGCATTAACTAGACTACTGGAGGTAATTTTCTTCTGTTTCTTTTTTTCTTTTTCTTTTCGTATCTGGTCTTGGCGTCTGATCTATATTGCAGATTTTATCACTTTATCAGCTTGGAAAGTTTGCAATTTTACATAATTCATTGTGAAAAAGTGAAAGAACTTGAAATGTAGAAAATCCAAAATCAGAACCTATGAACTTTGATGGCAATTTCTTCTTAATATTTAATCCATTAATTTAGTAGTGTAAAAGTGTTCTATTACTGCCCTTTCTGAAACTGAGGTTTAATCTCGCAGAATAAGTCAAGTAAAGTATCATCAATAAGCAAAGCAAGTATAAATGTTTAATCTTTTTATGGACTGAGTTTAAGAGCATGGACATCGCTTATGGAATGAGTAGTCAATTAGTCATTTAGATCTTGTATTTTCAAAGTTTGGGTAGCTTTTGCTATTGTACTACTGTTGGATTCAAAGATTATGACACTAAATGATAAGATGGATATGACAGGATTACTGCTTTCTTTGTAGGAACCATTGCTTCATCTGGCTTAATCTGTGAAGTTCAAACAAAGTTCAGATGGGCTCGAGAATGTTAAACGACCACGGGGCTGAGAATGTAAAGAATGTTTCGAATATATTGCAGCATGAAATTTGTGAAGCCTATTTGCTCTTTAAGGGTGAAACTGCACTTGGGGATGGTATCCGGGCATTCCTGTATTTTATGGGTATTTTCTATTGTTTCATTGGCTTGTCAGCTATTACCTCTCGGTTTTTCCGCTCCATGGAAAATGTTGTCAAGCATACGCGAACAGTGGTCGAAATAGATCCTTGTACAAAAACCAAAACTGTCAAGAAGGAAAAGGTGTGGAATTACACAATTGCTGATATCACTCTGCTGGCATTTGGGACGAGTTTTCCACAAATATCATTAGCTACTATTGATGCAATACGAAATATTGGAAGCTTATATGCTGGAGGTGTTCCCTAATTTTCTCTCTTCAATTACAAAAAAGTTAGAATGTATTTAAATAAAGTACAAACAAAATATACTTTTCCACTTCTATTTCATGCCCAATTTAATTTGTTTTAGGTTTATTGCTTTTGCATCATTGATATCTGTATTTTTGTTTTCATATCTATTACAGGTTTGGGTCCAGGAACGCTTGTTGGCTCTGCAGCTTTTGATCTGTTTCCTATACATGCAGTTTGTGTTGTGGTACCTAAAGCTGGTGAGTTGAAAAAGATATCAGATCTTGGGGTCTGGCTTGTGGAGCTTTTTTGGTCTTTCTGGGCTTACATTTGGCTCTACATCATTTTAGAGGTAAAAAAAAAAAAAAAAAAAAAAAAAATACAAGCTTTTGCTTGAAAAGAATATGTGTTGCATTTTATAATCTATTTTTAAATGTTCCTTGGAATTGACTTTGTAGGTATGGACTCCAAACGTTGTCACCTTGTGGGAGTCTTTGTTGACAGTGCTCCAATTTGGGTTATTGCTGATACATGCCTATGCTCAAGACAAGCGTTGGCCATATTTGTCCCTTCCTTTGTATGCTTTGGTTATATAACCCGTCTTTTTATTTAACTGTTCCGATTTTGTTGCCAAATATTTTTTTCACCATACCCAATTTCAATTCACGTGTATCAGGGAAAGATCTGAGAGGCCGGAGGAGTGGGTGCCTGTAGAGACTGCTTCTTATGGAGAGGTTCCTGGTGATTGCTCAGGAACACTCAATGTTGGGGTGGAAGACAGGAGGGAAATTGTTGATATTTTCTCCATCCATTCTGGCGATGGGACAGGTAACACCAATTGAAGTTAAATGTGATAATGAGCGACAAGTATTTTGAAGTGAGTGCATAGGGAATATAGAAGACAATAATAATGAATATATAGTGACGCATCTAGTCACTTCTAGTTTAGTATCGAGTTGGAGGTTGAATACACATTGGTAGAATCTTGGATTTGGATAGCAGATAGATGAGTTATTACCTTTTCTGTATAGTAAGTTTTCTGTTGAAGTTATTTCTACAGGTCGTGTTTATCAAAACTTGCCTGATACAGATGTTGCTGAATCCTCTGCTGGGCACGACTGTGATGAGAAAATTGTTGAGGAATCTGATATCCTCTCAATTTGGAAACAGCAATTTTTCGATGCTTTAGTGGTACTGTTCTTTCCTCCCTCTTCTTCTTCTTCTTTTTACATTGGCTATTTGGTTGAAACTTTACTCAACCAGAAGACCATATATTTTTTCTCAGTTCTTGATGATTTGCATTTTTGTTTAGAAATTTTTAAGTTCTAGTCCATTTTCACAATTTATTTTTGTTAATTTCTTTGTTTCGTATGTTTCATTTGGTGCATATTTCCTTCAATACGGAACAGTTGGAACATGCAGAATCCAGAAAACTGGATAACACATTTGTTCGGCTTGGACGTATTTCCTGGCAGTTACTTCTAGTACCATGGCGGCTTCTATTTGCGTTTGTGCCTCCCTATCAGATTGTCCATGGGTGGCTTGCCTTCATCGGCTCTTTGATCTTCATTAGTGGGATAGCTTATGTTGTTACACAACTCACCGACCTAATAAGCTGTGTTACAGGTTTTCTTTTTTTATTTCGAGTGTGCAAACTTGTGTTCATTATAAACGCTACTCTGCCAGATGTACCAATGGACGACCTATGTTCCCTGCAGGAATAAACCCTTATGTCATTGCATTCACAGCATTGGCGGCCGGAACTTCTTGGCCTGATCTAGTTGCAAGCAAGATTGCTGCAGAGCGGCAGTTGACTGCTGATTCAGCTATCGCTAACATCACATGCAGGTTACTTTTGATTTTTCTCACAAACTAAATTCGGTTTGATTGAAAAAAAAATCCACAATATATTACCCAATGATAGGTTACTTGACAAGAAACTCAACTTATATGTATGCTTTAAATCTTTGGATTTGCAGCAATTCGGTGAATATCTATGTAGGCATTGGCGTTCCGTGGCTGATTGACACTCTCTACAACTACTTTGCATTCAACGAGCCCCTGAGAATACAGAACGCCAAGGGACTAAGCTTCTCTTTACTCGTTTTCTTTGCTACTTCGGTTGGGTGTATTGGCGTTTTGGTGTTTAGGAGAGTAACTTTGGGTGCTGAACTTGGTGGCCCCAGAATTTGGGCCTGGGTAACCTCTGTGTTCTTTATGCTGCTGTGGCTTACATTTGTTACATTATCTTCACTCAGAGTTTCTGGCATAATATAAAACTCTCTATCTTCACATTTTTGTTGGTTAATTTAGTTACTTCTCGAGGGAACGATTCTTACTCACACTATTACGTTTGTAAGGTTTTAATTTGGGTGATTGTAGCATGAATGATAGCATGACTGTATCAAATTGGTAGATTCACACATATAATATAATATATATAATAACAGTACAAGCAGGATACTAGTAGAAAACACTCTACACAGCCTCTATTCTAACATTCATCTCTGCAAAAGAAAATCATCCCTTTATAGTGCTTCTATCTTGCCACCTGTAATGCTTCATTATTAGACAGCAACTCCTACTGTGCATGAAGTCACAGGGGCTGCAGTGTTGTTCTGTTTTACATCACTGTATTTCTTGGTAATGAATCTGACCAAAAAAATAAATGTGTTACCAGACAAATAAACCCAGAGGCTACACAGCAGTTGAGAGAATGATGATGTGTTGTTACCTGAAGAAATCCCTCCACAACAGCTCATACATTAGCCAGTTCATCCCAGTGTCACCACTGGGGTCTTTAGAGGAAGCAGAAATTGTGCTGTAAATAAACCACACAGTAAAATACCCGTTATGTGAAAATGGGGCGGTGTGTTTGGTTTGGGAAGGGAATGTGGTGGGATGGGGATTACCTTGACGCGGATTTTTTGAGCTCCTCAAACATGGCGCGAGGGGAAATGCAGCCCATGCCAAGCCAGGGAGAGATTTTGCAGGAAAAGTTTGCACCGTATATGCTATCACTCCCATCTTTGTTTCCCCGGTTGGGTTGCACTTGGCATTCGCTTGCAAATGTTCTAATTCTCTGTAATGCTTCAGCCTCTCCTCCCACAAGGGAAGCATTAACAGATGGTTTTCCACTCTGCATGCACAACCATATTGTTGAAATGTGAAACCATTCTATCTAATGATGTTTGGCCATTCTTGGGTATAACCAAATTACATTCATTCATTTATCATCTCACATATAATAGAGGATTTTCTTGAGCATAATAATGTACGATCCAACTATCAGCTTAAGCTTTTAGTTGAGATGGAGCACATGCTTCAATTTTGTCAATTTTGTATCAGAGCCAGAAGACCAAAGGTCATGTTTCAGCTTAGGCTTTTAGTTGAGATGGATTTTGTCAATTTTGTATCAGAGCCAGAAGACCAAAGGTCATGTTTCAGCTTAAGCTTTTAGTTGAGATGGAGCACATGCTTTAATTTATTTGACAGTCAAATTTGACAGTATTGGTGACTGATAATCTCACATATAACACAAAAGAAGCATTATAAGACAGAATCAATCAAGAAAATAAGCATACCTGCCCCACTGTTGAACTAGGATTGAGACCCAAATCAGCTAGAGAGGGAGTCTCCCCAGGCTCCACATTTCCTCTAGCAGGCAATCCTCTGAGCTGATTCAGTGCTTCAATGGTGTTTCTGATCTTCAAGCCATGAACTTTTTCCTTAAAAGTACTATAATTCGTAGGCATGTCTTCCAATTTAAAAGGCAAATCATCAATATGGTACAACGTGCTTCCCCAGAAAAACTTCATCTCAATGCCCTCGTCCTTCATCGCCTTCTCGAGCTTATCTTCCGCCTTGAGTTCATCGTGCGAGATATCGCGATGGCAGTAAACCGCTTCCGCTCCAATCTGCTTAGCCAGCTCCACCAGCACCGTCTCGGGCTTCCCCATTCGGACCACGAGATCAGAGCCTCTGGCCTGCAGGTTCTTCTTGAGGTCAGAAACGGACTCGATCAAGAATGTTGCCCGGTACGGGCCGGTCTTGTCAAAGCCGTTGTAGGACTTCCCGTAGTCGCTCGGGTCGAAACAGTAAACGGGCAAAACGGAAATGGACTCGTTATTGGCTGCGTTGAGGCACTCGTTGTCGTGGACGCGGAGATCGTTCCGGAACCAAACAATGGAAGCGCGGCGGAGGGCGGCGGCATTGGAGGGGTCAGAAGGGCGGAGAGGGTTCAAGGGGACGGGGCTCTGAAGCGGGTTCGCGGAAACCGTGGACTTGAGCAATGATTTGGGAGGAGTGAGGGAGGCGGAGAGGGAGAGGTGAGAGAGAGAAGAGATCTGCGCGGGGATCTTGACCCTGCTTGGGTGAGAACCAAAGAGGGTGGAGATTTTGTGGGCGGGGAGAATTGTGGACAAGGAGAGGGAGATTGAAGCCATGGGTAGGCGAAGCGTAGAGACGGCGGTTTGCTCTTCCGCCGCTTGAGCTTCCTGATTCTCTTGTGGAAAGTTTTTAGCCTCCATTTTCAAGAATCAGTGAGAGAAAATGCAGCTTTTACAGATTCGAAAAGGAAAACAGCGATAAAACTGAGGACACAAAATCTTCTCCGACGACGATTTGGAGCTGCTGCCGGAGGCCTTTCTGGTTTATTGCAGTGTTTGGTGGCGGAGTTCGGTGGTTTTTAAGTTATAATGAGAAAGTTGGTTGGTAAACGCGAGGAAAACTATCTCCCATTGTCCATTGACAATGTTGCCCACCTAATTTCGTCCCAACAACCCCATTACAAATATTCAATTTATTATTATTATTTTTTAAAGAAACATACTATTCTAGTACTCCCAAAAAAACATACTATTTATATCATTGTAAATTTAATTACGGAGTACAAAGTATTCAAAATATTTCTTGTTTTCTGTCATCGAAATGGACTCCTTAGCTTATAAAGTATGCCTCACAAATGTAATAAAAATGAGATCAAATTGATTCATCATCTCTTTAAAGCAAAAGAATAATCTCCTACATTAGATTGTAATTCTTAGACTATTTGTAAATAATATGTTTCAATTTATCGGTTATCCATCCCATGATTCTTCATTCAACTTAGAGCTTCTTGTATAGCTATAGCTTCGACCTTTTTAGCAAGAAAAATCAATGCTCATATATAGCTGTCATGAATTCCCCTTGCACACGCAATATCCATCAATATCCCATTCTTCCAGTGGTAGTGTAAGTGATACGTTTGTATTTAACTTATTAAACAATTATTTTTTCTTACTCACAAAATGCAAAATTCCTCATTCTCATTAAAATTCATCAAAACATTGACATCTACAAAATAACTTGTACACTACTACACAAGGGTGTGCACTAAACAAATTTTACCTTGTGCATGTAGTCGACAAATGATCACAAGGATGTAAACCAGTCCAAGTTACCCATAGCTGATCATAACTCAAACAATAAAACTAATAAACCGCTCATACTATAAGTCAATCGTATAACATTATGATTACTAAGTCAATAGTGTGATTAAATTGGCTGGAATTACCATTATGAATTTTATTAACTAGGTAACAGTCTACAACAACCAATTCTTGCTCTTGTTGTTGTAATTCTGTTTAGCCAGATGTGCTGATTCAGTTTTATGAGTCAATGTTCCTATGACTTTAAATATGTCAAACTATGTTTATTGTCCAAGCTTATGCTAAATTGGGTATGTTTAGATTGAGTTATAAGTTATACTCCATCTGTAAGCGTAACATTTTGCCTATTAATATGTGTCGACCTGTCAAACCGAAAAATGTTAATGTGCAATGGATCATGAGGTGAAATATGTTTTGAACATATCAAAAAAATCAAATGCTATCATAGAAAATATGGAGACTTTTAGTACTCCCAATATTGGTCCTTACCAATCAAGGTATACACGTCATAACTCACTTGAGAGTGATTAAACACGTCATGATACATAACACCGATCGATGAGTTACTTGACAAATATAGGATACTTTTATATTTTGTAAGTTAAAACATCATATTAATTCAATTTCAATATGTATAGTCTTCGAATGAAAATGAAAATATATAGTATTTGAAAATTGGGGATAAAAATGAAAAAAAAATTATAGTTATTGGTCAAAGTACAATTATTGAAATCACAGGCATCATTTTAATATTAGCTAAAATCCAAGGAGTCCAAGTGCAAATATACAATTACTACAAGTCCAAGATCAAATAATTTCAGAATTACGCTTTTCCCCCTTATCACGAATTGCCAATTTACCATCTCTTAGAACAGGAGTGAGCTGTAATGGAGGTTGCTTGTACTTGCTTAGGTTCAGCACGTCTATGGCGGACGAATATGAAAAGCTTGGTGGATTTCCGTTTCGGAGCCTGTACTGCTACTTTGCCTCCATTGCCGTCGTTATCCTGCGCATCAAGGAAAAGGAAAACTTTCATTTTCACAGCAAGAGCTAATCCATACGCTGAGCAGAGTGATCCAGTTTTCCGAGCCGCAGTCGAACGCGCTGCTATCCGTTTCCAGGAGTCTCAACGTTCAGGCAAGTCCGCCTTCCCGCTCCAAAACTCCTATCCCTAAATTATAGCATTCCATTAAGGTGTTGATGCTATTGTTCATTTAGGATTTCTATCGAACAGTTTCTGTTTTCAAGGGCGATGCATACTTTATTGATTGAGTAGTTTGTAACTTCACGGCTATTTACCAGTCCATCAATCCATGTGTGTTAGCCTCCAAGCTCATTTTGCTTACTTTGCTGATAAACTGATATGTTCTTATGGTATTGAGTTTTTTGTTGATGTTGTTTCATGTCTAAGTGAATTGTTGCATTTGCAGATCCTTTGTTCATTGACCCATATGCTGGCTGCCTTTTTCTATCTGAGATTGAAGTGTATAGGGAAGAGCATCTGCATCCCTACTGCCTTGCAACTAAGTATATTGATGATAAGTTGTTGAGCACATTAGAAAAAGTTGATGGGCCGAAGCAGGTATGACCGTATGAGCGTGATTGGCTTAATCAATCTGCTAGAGTGCTATGATAACTGTGGAGTCATATATAGACAGTACTTTACTTAGATGCTGCAGGTTGTTTTGTTAACAGATGGCATGGATACTCGGCCGTTTAGACTCAATTGGCCAGCATCAACTATAATATATGACATATCGCCAGAGGAAGTATTTAGAAGAGGAACTGAGAAGCTTCAAGGTCCATGCTTCTTTTCTACCTTGCTCTTCTCGTTCTTATTTTTTCTTGATTGCTTACTTTTTCTTTAAAATTTTAGAAGTTGGGGCTAAGATACCAAGAGCATGTGTATTTCATCATGTCCCATTGAATTCCTCTAATCTACAACAGATGATGGGCAGTAAAGGATTTAATGGTGCCAGGCCAAGTATTTGGGCTTTTCAGGTGAATGCTTCTACGATACACTTCAAGGTTCCTTGAATTTTGTGTTGATTGCTTGTGACCTTGTTTGTGTGAAGCTAAAAAATATTTTCTTCAAAGTCCTATTCCTAGTTTGCCTATAACGAGTATAGAACAAAAACTCCTGGATCTTCCCCTCACACCAAGATAAAAGGAGATTTAAACTAAGATAAAAATTTGATTCTGTTAAAGTCATTCAATAGTTCTGCTGCTCAATTAGAAATTCAATTTGCCTCTGCTGACTACTGCATTCAGTGAATGGTACTTTATTATGGGCTTTGTTGATATTGTCAGTTTGTCACCACAACTATATCAAATTAAATGCAGTGTGTCATTTGTTGGATCTTCTGATATGTCTAATCTTTAGAGTACACTTCACGTCTTACCTCTAGAAATCTACTGTATAAAACCATGGAAGAAGATGAAATGACCTCGCTTTACAGGGACTGCCGGTCATGAACTTGGCGAGCTTTAAAGATATTTTGTGCCTTGTCAGTAATCTGGCCATGAAGGGATGCTTTTTCTTGGGAGAACTTCCTGTTTGGTTGGCTGAAACTGATGCCAGGTGTAAGGTTACTGAACAAGATTGCTGATGTGCATTTAATATTTAGTACAATTAGTAGTGCTCTCTGATTTTTGGTTTTTATCCAGTCAACTACAAAGAGATGGTTGGAAAGCCTTTTCTTGAGCTGTGGTTTCCGTGTGGAAATAATTGGGTACAATGACATCGCAAGAAACCATGACAGTGAACTGGTAACAGAAGAGTTCACCAACATACTTTTTGTTGCAGAGCATCTGAGATTTTCTGATGATCAGGTACTATTTCTCCCCACATAATTGTACAAAAATGCATTGATAACAAATTGGTATTGGTGCAACATTCAATCCACACAATTCTTCCACAGGACTCTTTTAACAAGTTTCCCATTGGTTTTAACATTAAAGAAGCAAATGTGTTTCTACATCTCACTTATATGCAAGATAATATTGTCTGGCCATGTTTGAACCTTGATAGATGGAACTATGGCGGAGAGAATTTCAGAGGATAGAGGAAGAAGGAGACGAAGAAGGCTTTGATGAGCTCTAGAGTTTATCATTCTGTTTGGTTGCGCATCTGCAATGCACATCCGTCCAGGTTCATATCTATCTGAGCTTTCATATTAGCAGTGCTATATTTACATTCTCAGCTGCTATCCAGTTTTAGGATTGTGTTCAAATTGAAGTCAAATATTTAATTGCATATCATTTCCCATATCCAAACATATATTTTACCTCAACCAAAAAGTAGTGTATTTAAACTGGTAGACCCACACTTTAAGCAGAACATTATTCAATTGAACTAATAAAATAAGAAAACATGTTCATGAAATGTATAAGAGCATAATTCTTCATCAGGAAAAGTAATCAAGAAGAAGATACAAGAGTTTGTAGATTAGAATTGTTCCTGTTGACACAGCTAAATCCACAACCACACTGAGGACTCTCGTAGAAATTGTCAATTCCAAAGCCGGCAGAGGTTATCCCAACAGAGAACTCAAGATTATCGCCTTTATGTGTGACCTCAACTATATTCAACCAGAAGAACAGTATTTTCACCTGCACACCACTCAAGTTTCTCAGCTTGTCCTGGGAGATTGTCCCCGTGATTTTCTTACTGTACTTGAGGTTGTACCCCTCTATGGTGAAACTGCACGACCCGCCAAAGTACGCCGCGAACTTTCCGGTGTTTTGGTTCAACTCGTAGCTCTCGACGCCGATCGGAAGAATTCCGACCGGAAAGTCGTATTCCTGCAAGATCTCGTACGCCGTCAAGCTGTCTCCGATTGCCGGAGCGACTCCCAAGCAAAAGGCTAAGAAGGCGGCAAGCATGCGCAGCAATCGGGCCGGCGAGGGATACATCTTTCCGGCGTGAATTGGTGCGATGCTTTGGCCTTCGGGAGAGACAGAGTTGACGAGGATGAATGATTGGAGTTGGATAGCGTTGAGAAAGTCTTCCGTCAGAATGTGAGAGAATAGTAGTTGGTATCGGGGTATTTTTGTCATATAACGGTTATGACAGTGGTCTTTTACTACCATACAGATTGGAATTCCACATGCTGATTGTGGTTTCCGCCTTAATAAAATATACTCAAAAAATTTGCATATGCAAATATGCAACAAGGGAATCTTCAGTAGGCATCGTGAGATCCGTTTGGCCGGCCAAATTGAGTAAAAAAAATTATTATAAAAATTAACATATAATATTTACTCCGTTCGGTTAATTATATTTATAATATTTGTGGATTATGAAGATTAAAAAATAACCACCGTTCATTTGGTTTTTGATTGTTACTAATAATAACTGATCAATGCACACCCTAGTGATAGTTAAAATTTTATTTTGATTGACTTGACTCTACTATAAGTTAATAGAAAATCACTTAATTATAAAATATACAAAATTAAATATGGTAAATAATTTTTGAAGGAAAGTGTAATATTAATCATGTAAAGAATATTTATTTTTTCTAAAAAATTGTTTACATACTTAAATTATTTGTTTTTGTAAATAATAAGCAATGCAACATAACCCCAAATACTCCTGCTTCTCTGCCCCTTCCGGCTTCCTCCATATATCCTGGATAGGCTTCCACTTATTTTAGAATCAAGGGCATTGGCAGATAACTAAAATTTATGATTCAAACAAAATTTTATGAGTTTTCACAACACATGCCTATGACCTTATGATAAAAGTAGACCATAGTATGATTTTTGAATAACAACAACAACAGCTGAGCATTTCGATGGGGTTAGGAAGCTTAGGCTTCATAGTTGTAGATGCATTTGACTCTCCATATATATATATATATATATATATATATATATATATATATATATATATATATATATATATATATATATATATATATATATATATATATATATATATATATATATATATATATATATATATATATATATATATATAGTTTCTTTGAAGGCAAAATAGGATAGATAACATTAAAAATATTTCATTGTTTTCAGGTGGGCAGTGGTGATGAAGTTGGGGCCTTGGAACATTTTATATTGACCAGAATAAATAATTTATAATTTATTTAATTTAAATAATGATTATGATGTGTAACAAATTGTGATCACATATATGCCTGAATCATGTTAGATGTGATGTCTTTATCACGTTCTTATATTACATGCTTAACCTTCTTCATAGATAAAGCCTTTCAGACATGATTTGTGTAATACTTAGTTACAAAGTACTAAAATTATTACTAGCTTGGTCATAACATAATTATTAGGCGTATAGTCAAAAAAATAGGGACGGATAATCGTAGCAATAGACTCATTCATAACTGTAATAGAATTAGTCTTCAACTCAAATGGAATCTTAATCTTACTGAAAATCTCTTTATCCATGTCAAACCATTTCAAATCACCATTAGATATTGTCAATAGTATTTTCCTTTTAATTAAAAGTTATGAGTAATTGTAAGGGGAGCTAGAAAACGTTTAGGACCGTATGGAACAACATCAATTTGCCTCAAATTCCATGTATCATCGATTTGGATGCAAACCGTTACAGTTTCATAACTATCGTCACTATCTCACTTTACATCTTCAAAACTCAAAAGCATGATAACCTTCCTGGTCATATTGTTAGACAATCCAAATTACATAGATTAACTTCAATAGGTGGTTTGTTGGGCACCTTAATTGAACGTAAGGCTTTTCAATACGAACACATCAACAATCATGTCCATGGAAGTAATATTATTTATATCACCTACGCTCATATCACCTTTGCAAACAATCAGACATAGCATACCATCATAACACTTGCAGGCCCAATCTTGGCAAGGATAGGTTGAGCCTTTGCCCAAGGTACATCTATATAATTAAAATATCAATTAACTTAATTGTTAGGATACTTTGTTTGCATGCTAAAGGTTATGGGTTCAAACCCTTATGTGTATTTTTATATTAATTTTTCATTCCATCCTATTTAGAAGATAAATTTAGATATATTATTATGTGTGCCTTTATATTAATTTTTTTTTTTTTCAGTTCCTACCATTTAGAAGATGAATTTAGATATATTATTATGTAGTATTAAAATTGTAACTTATGGAATTTATTTCTCTTTTTAATTTGTAACTTTGTGATTTTTTACCTTTCTATAATTATGGTGAGATTTATAATATAGATCGATTTGTGATTCGTATCAAATTTTGAATCTATTTTTAGAGTAATTTACTACTTATATTTAGAACACATGTTATTTTGTAAACTTTATAATGAGTAATGTATATGTAATATATTTTGTGATTTAGTTATGAAAAATATTTTAAAAGATATATAGTTTACTTTTTTTTTTTTAATATTAATTATCTAGTTAATGTAGTTTAGAAGTTTTATTGTGTGTCATCGTATCCAAATTAATCTAGAAAAACTTAAAATTGATCTAACTAAAAGAAAAAAGTATTTATAAATATGATATCAATATAGAAGATATGTGATGTATAATGTGTTTTCTATTCGAACAATTTTATCCAATTAATTATGTTTCATATTTTATTATGAACATCTTTTATCACATTTAAAGTGTTCTGATTTATTGTTCCCAATAATTAAGATTTCATGCTCCGCTCTGGTTTATAAATTTTGTTTTATAAATTTTTAATAATAATTACTTTATTATTTATTATAATAATAATAATGTGATTGCGTATAAACTTATTTGGTTTCAAGTTGGTTATTCGTTTTTATAAACTATAATTATTTATTTATGAAGGCACTGATGTTGTTATTAATTATTTTGGATTTAGGAAAACATCTCGAAGTGATTTCATTGGTATGTAAAATTGTTAAAAAATTTCGAATCTTATTTCAAGTTATTTGACAATAGTACTTTTCTTTATTTAATTTAAATTTTAATTATAAAAATGTATATTAATTTCATCCGGCGCCCCATTTTTATTGTTACGCTCTGAGCCTATAAAATGATAGAACCGGGCCTGACTTGATGTATGTGGTTTCTGAATTTGGAATGACTGCTTTTTCCCCCTTTATCACGAATTGCCAATTGCCATCCCCTAGCAGATCATAGTATATAGACGGAAGAACATACTGGAACTGGAGTGAGCTACAATGGAGGTTGCATGTACTTGCTTAGGTTCACCACGTTTATGGTGAGAGAGTAGAATGAATGAATTAGGTTCACCACGTCTATGGTTTGAAGAGTAGAATGAATGAATTATTTATGACTTATTTCAGTATATATATATAAGGCTAAAGAAAAGTAAATAACAAAGCCATATGATCTATAGACTAGTTCTAAGCTATGTGTTTAAACATATGGCAGACGGATATGGAAAGCTTCCTGGTTCGGAGGTGACTGAGATAAGAAAATGCTTTGATGGTTTTTGCTGCAAATAATCTGAGACCATTATTCCATGTAATCAAAGGCTAATTAACTAGTCATTTGATTACATGGTTTCAGATTGTTTGCAGTTGCATCATAGCATATTCTGATTTCAGTCAAATACAATATATTATTCGAAAGATTTAGCCTGCATATAAGCAGTGGAAAATTACTCCCCAAGTTTCTCCAGAATGCAGGCATAATTCCTCTCCAGATGTAGCCTATAGCATCACTCAAGAAAATATAATTACTTAACAACAATGTTTGTTATATTTTGAGCAGCATGCAACATTAACGTTAGTTCTTTCAAAATAGTCTATTTAACCCATTAGACCGTTTGAAATTATGCTATGTTTGTTCCATTTTTTTATTTTTATTTTTTGAAACATAGTGTAACCTTAGCTTGCTTGTTTGTACAAATTAATAATATTATTACTTTCATCCATTAACCAAATTTTAATATAACCATCATCCCTTTCAATTCATTCATATAGGAGGGATGGCTAATTGTAACAAAATTAGTTTTCAATTGATCAAATGGGATCTTAATCTTACAAAAAAACTCATCATCTATGTCAAACCAAATCAAATCACCATTCAGACATTGCCAATAGTCTTTTTAAATAAAAATCATGAGTAGTTGTAGGGAGAGAAAATGTTTAGGACAGTGTGAAACAACATCATCAGTTTGCCTCCAATCCCATGAATCATCTATCATCTACTTGACTATAAGCCATTACAATTTTGTGATTATTTTCATATTCAAAATTCAAAAGCATGATAACCTTATTGGCCTTGTTGTTAGACAACCCAAATCCAAACCCTATACGTAGATCAACTTTAATAGGTGGTTTGTTAGTCACCTTAATTGAAGGGTAATGCTTTAATTTTCATAGTGAATGGGTTACGTTCATACGAAAACATCAACAATCATCTCCATATATGAAACTGATATTATTTAATCACCTACCCTTTGTGTGTTTCCAGAAATCATTTTTCAGGTTTTCAGTGTTTGAATGTGCCTGGAAAATCAAGTCAACGTAAAAATAGACTTGTTTTGGAGGAAAATGACTTCCATTTTTTTTGGGGAGTCATTTTCCAACTTTTACACCAACATCACACCACCATCACCACCAATACACAAGATCACAGTACCACCACCACCATACCACAGCAATCACCGCCACCACACCACCACCATACCACCGCAATCGCCACCACCACTACCACCATCAACACCATACTACCACTACCATCACCACCACCACCAATACAAGACTACACTACCACCGCCATCGCCGCCACTACACCACCATCATCACACAACCACCACCAGTTATTATTATTATTATTATTATTATTATTATTATTATTATTATTATTATTATATAACAAATAACAAATAACACCACTACCACTACCACCACTACTATACCACTTATTATTATTATTATTATTATTGTTGTTGTTGTTGTTTTGA